CGGCCCCGTGGATGCCGTCAGGCTGCGGGGAAGGCTCCGTCACCTCGCAGGGTGGGAATAATCACGAGAAAGGGGAGCCCGGCGTGGGGAGCTCTGTCGGCAGGGGCTGCTGCAGCCGGGCAGCGAGCGCGAGCGGTGGGAGGTCTTGGCTCTCTCTACATCCTGACTCTGAGCTGATGAAAAGAGACGGGTGGCTGTGTGGAGCCAGACTGGGAGCCAGCAGCCAGCTCTGCCAGCAGCAGGGAAAGGTGGCAGGGAAGAGGGTCCCCAGGGCCCGGGGAACGACCATCCTCCCTCTCTGGAAGCGGGTCACCCTCCCCTCTCCCTGCACGCCCCGGTTTCATCACATGCCCTCTGCCTGCTGTGCCCAGGCCTCTCCCAGCAGCGAGCGGGCGCTCCCTGGCAACGCGAGCGCTCTGATTTATGGAGTTTCTTGGCACATTGTTCTGCCCAGTGCGGAGCAGCGGCTCAGGCCAACTGCAGACCTTCCCTGGGAGCGGGCCCTTTGAAATGGCTGCCCCTCGCCGGCGCAGGAGTGGACCTGGGAAAAGCTGCTGGAACCCTCCAAACGGGGTGGGTGTGGAGCAGGAACCAGCCAGGACCTGGAGGAGTCTGGGCAGGGATGTCTCGGGGGCAGTGGTGGGGAAAGGGGACGGCGGTGTCCTGGCTGGACTCACAGCTCTTCTCTGATGAGTGCTGAGTCCTGGGTCCTGTGGGGAAAGAAGAGGGCAGATGGAGCCCGGGAGAGGAGGATGAGGCTCGCAGGAAGGGGAGGCTGGTGAACAAAAGGCTGGTGTTTGCCTTTCCTCCACCCTGCACAACCGTGGGTAAACAAGGTGCAGAAATGGTTGAATTCCCCTGAGATAACAAAGAGCGCTGGAGCCAAGCCAGCCCTGCCCGCTCGGCTCGGGGCCAGCCGTCTCTGGGGGACGGAGGGGAGCCGCGTGCACGGAGCTGCCTGCTGCCTGCACTGAGCGTGCCTGGGCTCAGCCCGGGACAGGGCTTCCAGGTTTGGGGCAGAAGAGGAGCTGCAGCGGTTGGGCAGAGACACTGAAGTCCCAAGTGCCCCAGTTCCCCGCAGAGGGACGGCAGGAGAGACCCCGCGCTCGCAGCAGGAGCTGGCACAGGGACACGCATCTCTGGCACCTTGGGGACATGGGCTGTGCCAGGAGCATCCCTTCGCAGGGCCGG